AGTGATGTGATGTCTACAGTAAGAAAAGAATCATCAATGACTGCTTTGGAATGTGCACTGCGTTCCGACGGTAGTGCTAAGCAAACAGTTAAATTTTAAAAGCGCGGTTATAAGATCTAACAGATCTTCTTGTTAATAGCGTGATACTCGTTTCTTTTCGTATCATTCAAGGGTATGTCCCGTGGGAACTTCCAGATTAAGACCATTACGTCATCACCATAGTTTTCCTAAAGGCTTAGAGCGATGGTGCACTAAATAATACAGTTTGTGTTGATCAGTTGATGTGGTGTCTACAGCAATCAATGAATCATCAAGGACTACTGTGGAGTGTGCACTGCGTTGCGACTGTAGTGCTAACATAATAATATCTTCTAACATCTTCTTGTTTCTTCATAATTGTACACAGTGTATTTATGGCTTTACTCTTTTATTAAAAATGTATGGTAGAAAAGGCAGCAATGCAAAGAACCCAGCAACTCTCAGATTTTTCATTTTTACGAAAGAATCCAGTTAAATGCAGCGCATTCGTATTAAGGCAAAAAATTGCGGAATAGCTTTCTTGGAAATACCCTATTTCTCGAGAACCACTCGTTAGAATTTCACGAAATTTGCCACGAAAATACCTTAGGAAATAAGTAACTGGAATATTGAAAACAAATTGAAATTTAACAGAGGCAATTCTAGATATTCCAGTTAGCCTTTTACAAGGGATAATTAAAGGTCTCTCTGTTAAACTATTATTAAAATAGTGTTAACTTGTGAGCATTGTTACAATCATGGTGCATGCAAATGAAAAATAAAATCTAATCTAGATTTTCTGCAAACAAACATATTCAATTTTAAAATGCCTGTTTATATTTATTCATGTTGCCATGGCAACGGCGCATACGTCGGCGTAGCTACCAAAAATCTGAAGGATCAAGGGCTTTAGAGAAAAAGGAAAATGAAACACAAGTATCAAAACTGTGTTCGGTCACCTTAACAGACCTGTACTGTATGTTCTCAAAATGCACCTAACCCCCAAATTTTTTTTTCGCTAAAACGAATCTGCTTGTTATTTGAAATACTTCTGCGAAAAAAAAAATTTGGACTCCGTTAAATCCGCGATTTTCTGTGCCCCGACGAAATGTCGAAAATAGCTCCAAAACAACGCCATTTTGTTTCGCGACCGAGTTTGAGGAGAATGTCTCCAACGGCTGTTATGACGTCTACCCAGGAAGGTTGAATATCTCACGTCCTCTCATTTCCTTAAGGATGGTGCAATACACATTCGGAAAGTGCGCAGAAACGCCTTCCAGAAGCTGGAATATCCCATATTTAAAGAAAGATATACTGTACAATTTACTGGCGATGATCGGTCAATGGTACAATAAAGACGTGAGCGATGGTTGATTTTGTCGAATCGAAACAAGCGAACTGAGTCTGTGAGGACCGTTGAAGAACTCTCACTGGAATTTGTTCCGCAGACCCAAAAGTCGAAGATGAATCCTTCAGAATTACATGATAACAAAATTGTTAGACTCACAGAGTTTTTCGAAGGTTTGGAAATCAGCAGTGCGACAAACATTCTGTGCAATAGTGTCGAAAATATGACCGGGTAACATTATCTGCGGACGGCTTAGGGAACACATCCTTTTCGCTTATCCCACGAATTTCACTGCAAACTTAAAAAAAAAACAACTTCAAAAATACGGTCCAAACAATTCTACGATTTTCAATCGATCGAAGCCAGTGTTTTGGAGGTCATCAAGTCTCGAAAACTGCAACAATTACGTCGCTCTTCTAAACATGAAGCATTCCAGAAAGTAAAACACAAACTGGATTTAATGGAACAACCATACCTTGACAAAATACATTCTCGCTAAGGACAAATGTGAACGGGCTATAAAAGAGCGTCGGAGTCTTGTGTTTAGGTGACGAAATTAGCATCCAAAGCAGTCCTTGAGTTTTCTTTCCTGCTTTTCTTTTGCCTGCTCCTCCACTTCGTATCTAGCTTTCCATTCCTAATGTACAAGCAGCTCGTCCAGAAATAAATCTTCCCCGTCGTCGCTTGAAATACTGCAAATTTTTATCAAAGCTCTAAGCAGTGAGTTCATAGTTGTCGAACGTGCTCGATCGAAGTTCATTTCGGAGTCTTCGAATCGAAACTTAACTCTGACTCCAGTGACGAAAAAGAAATGATTCTTAAACAACACTTGGACGTTTTAGTCCCAAAATATATTTGAACGATTAGTCTTGCTTTCCATTTTACCGAACAAATACAGTGAGCTGACTGAGGCGCCATTGTGTTTGGTTGCTGGGTAGACGTCATCAGCAACCGCCGCCCCAGACTCCCTAAAACGTAGTCGCGCAACACTTCCAGCGCGACTTTGAAAGGGCATACAAAATCGAGGATACAACCAAATTCAAAATTTTTTTCGCCTAAATGCTTCGAATAACAAGTGAATTCGTTTTGGCAAAAAAAAAAAAAAAAAAAAAAAAAAAATTGGGGTTAAGTGCACTTTAAGGTTAGTGGCAGCAGTAGATTAAAAGCCGTTGGAAGCCCCTAGACTCTCATTAGGTCTTGTATTAGCGCGTTCACCGACTATGAACTGTCCAATACTTGTTCACCATTCACTGATCGTAAGGGAGACGTAATCTTGGACTATCACGTTTACAATAGCTTAAGGAATTTAATGTTTCAACCATTCTGCTTTGCAGTAAAGTCTACATCACCTAGAGTTTAGCCTCTAATGACTGAGCTTATATATCTTGTACAGTTTATACTCGTTGCTAATTATATTCACTGTGGTAGTGGCCAACTCGAAGTTTCTGCCCCTTCCGCCACTACAGACTCCTGTCTTGTTAAATGAAATTTTGCATTTGTGTTTAATTCTGCTTTTCTGCTGTTAACATTTTATTGTAATACGACTTAGTGTAAACAAAAGAATTGGGTTGAACTTGGACATAATTAAGAAAATGCATTCACGTTTTCTCTCAGCAGATGGGAAAAGCAGGTCTAGCCCAGCCTTTAAGGCATGTTGTTATTCTGACACAGTTCGTGTTGGTGGGTTGGTTTGTGGCGTCTGGTTTGTGTTGTTTAGAAGATGTTCATCCGGGGAATTGTACCTGCAAACCTTTTGGCCGCACCCGGATCAGGGTAACTTGTACGGGAATTAAGCAAGTGCCACGTGATTTACCGTCCAATACGGCAAAGTTGTAAGTGAGGCGAAATTACATTTATAACTTTTAAAATATACCACTCACTTTAATCTTTAATATTTTCCAGAACCCTCCTCAGATGAGTCAAATTACGAGAAATGATTAAAATGTCCTCAGTTGTATTCGTAGTCAATTGCATGCAAGTTTTAATATAGTTCCACTTAATGTTTTTGTTATATGGCTCCACAACGCTCCCAAATACTGCCTGTTTCCTTAATTATATATGGTCAAGTGAAGTAAAAATGCAACAATCAAAGCAAATAATCCCTTGCTTTCGTTTCGATACTGTATGGTCACGGTGGTATAATACGCAAAGTCAAATATCTCTGTCCTCCCTCCAACTCCTTCGTTTAGTTCTCTGGTTACGATAAACGTACACAGACTGTTCAAGACACAACACATGTTGGCCACTAACATTACGAGTCTTCTAAACTTTGCTGGTGCTACCATGGTTCTCTTTCAGAACTCTCTCGGCAAATCATTTGAGGTCGATAGAAGAAGACGCCTTTAGAAATCTAACATTACTTAAGGCCATGTAAGTTGATCAGCTTAATGGAAACACAAGCTAGCAAATCGTATTTTTGCAGTGAAAGTAATAGCTCAAACACAGCACAATTCACAAAAAAAACACGTCATTAGAACCTATAGCCGTGACTAAATTACTAGCTGTTGTTCGGGAAAGATCAGACCAGACTCGAGAGATCGGCGGGAATCGAGCGTGGACTAACTATGAAAAAAAAGCCTAACTTTACATTTAAATCACGAGACATTGTTTGTACTAAACCTTTTAATGTATAGTACATTCAGTGAGACTGAAATGGTCTGACGAACGCAAACCTTGTCGGCGTGTTCTAAAATCTACTTCCTAGCTTCTTCGTCCATAGGTCGTTTTCAACTAATGTCATCGCCGCCATGTTGGATGATCATTAACTACAGAATTCAAATAAGATTCATATTCTGTTAGAGAACATAAAATCACGTCATGACAGAAATACTTGAAACCGTAACCACATATAAAGCACAAACGCCTACCCAATCAGGACACGTCCTAGAGACAAAAAGACTCCATTTGAATTCAAACAGTTAACTAAAACTACTGTGTTTTCTTTTCAGAGATCTTTCAAGGAACAGCTTGAAGTCTATTCCACAAAACACTTTCCGGAATCTGAATCTACTGACAAACATGCAAGTAGAGTTAATCTGATTTGTGTTACAGTCAAACTGGATCTTTGGTTACGAGCTCTCTCAATGTGCCATGTAAATTTGCTTTGCCTAACTTGCTGTATATTGTTAGTTCAACGTTAGACCCACTCTAGAGATTCGACTATTCCACAATTTGAGTCGTGTCCACTCGTGTAGACTCGTCATGAGGAGACGAAATTTTCTAACCTCTACCCTCCCCCGTCTAAATCACCTAAAAAGGGCGTTTATGCTAATTCTTACCCTGTGGACAGGACTTTTCCGTGAGTCGAGTCGTGTCATCTTTGTGGACTCGTCACGATTTCCTATTTCCGTCCCCCCTCCACCTCACCTTCTAAAACCGCTATAGGGCGCTTTTATAGAAGTTGACGCGACTTAAACTTTCCCATAAGTGGCAGCGCGTCGGCTCTTCAGTACTTTTACTTCCTCTTTTACAAATCACCGCACTCCCAGTGTGTTACGCCGGGAACATATCACTTTCTGGTTACTTGTAACCTCGAGGGAAGTAAATTCGACGACTAGATTCTGATGTTTACGACATAACTTTCAATAAGTCGAGTCGACTACAAAGTTAGATGACTCATCTCACCTTGGGTGCATTTGACAACCCTCGCATTAGTGCAATTTCACATTGTGCATTTGTATACGCATGGTTATCCTCGTGCAATTTGGAACTGAAACAAACACTAGTAAATTTTTCAAAGGCTAACAAAATTTCATCAGCAAGTGCAGGTTGTAGTCTGAAAGAATTCACTAGTGCTTGTTTATTCCAAAGTGCACGAGAATAATCATGCGATTACTTTTTTTGTTACCATAAACTTTATTGGTTTTCTGCACTACCAGTATTTACGTGTGATTACTTGTTAATAATACACTCAAGTACAATTACTCAGGCAATTATCATAATATTTTCTTTCTGATTGGTCAAGGTTTGTGTCACATTTAACAATTGCTCCGCCAGCGGGCGTTGGATGTGTGTATAGGCCCGTAAACGATCCCCAAATTGGTCCAAAAATGATCCTTCAGGCCTCTTTCTCGAACGTCGAGAAAGTGGCGCTTTTATATTCACAGTCAGGTGTTGTAACGTCTCCTTTAGTTTGGCTCTGCTGGGTTTAGATGTATCAATTTCTTGCATCTCATCCGGCAGGTCTATTTTCATCACCCTACCGGCTATTTAGCACCTCATTTAAGTGTGCTAACAATCTCGGGATTTTACTGTCTTCATCACTGAGGATCTTTCCATTTTTGTCCTTAACTCCAACAATTTAATTTGCCTCTCCCTCTTTCATTACTCGTTACTCTGAGTACACGATGTCTTCGTGTCCTGCTATCTAACTGCATTTTCGGCTTTTTGTTCGGCTCCGATGGATTCAGATATTCTGATTTTCCTTGAGCTGAAACATAATTGTTCCATGTCATTAAAATCGCAGAATTCTTCAAGACACAGAGGTGAAACTTTTATTTTCCTTCTTGTAGAAATCTTGCCGAAAATAACATCACAGGTGGTTTTTTTCTCCCTGGAAATACTTTAAAAGTGTAAGTTCTGTTTCTGTCTAACAAATAGATTTCGTGTTAACGCGTAAAATGACGTCAAAATGTGTTGCGAACAAAAAAGTGGCACAGTGGCAGTTATTTTGACGTCTTCTGTGATCTATTACTGAATAGACGTACGGCAACTTGGAATCCAGTTGTTCTATGATGAAACGAAAAACATTGTTAGTGACGTCATCTATGCGTCTGTCCTCCAATAGATCATAAGTAAGAACCAATCAAAATGCGAAATAGTAATCGACATATTATATAGTGACCAATCATAGCGCGCGTGGCGTTTCAGTTATTTTACAAATTTTGTTAAAGAAATAAAAAAAACATGGACCAAGTTGCTATCGAGTTACAGAAACACGAATGGAAGTTTGGGAGAACAAGAAATACTATGGAAACACGAGCCGATAGGCGAGTGTTTCCGAAGTTTTTACAAGCTCTCCCATACTTCCAAGGAAACACGAAGAACATGTTTTCTATTTTATTTAGAAAATTCCGCGACGACAAAAAGAAAACAACTTTACTTTGATCATAAAAACGTACATTAGCTTAGCTCGCACCATCACTGCATTAACAGATTGCTCTAGTTTTGTGTTTCTATCGAGTTTAAGTATAAATGTACCAGCGTTAAATCGCGAATGCCGTTCTCTAATTGGCTAAGCTAATTGATATCTATTCTGTTGTGATAGTGAGTGTGCGTTTGTGTACAGAATGACGGCTGCTTCTTTGCGTTGTCGAGGTATCTGCGAAGAAGATTTAGATAAAGTGTTGAACGACTAGTAGATTTAC